CACATTAAGGAAGTCTTGTATTAACTGTACAAGTTCAGCTTGGCTTAGAATTATAGATGGCGCTGTGCGATTAGCTAAATTGTATTTATTTATTTAAATGTAATCATATTGATTTTAATAATAAATAATAAAATTAGTGGCATTATGCATTTATTGACATTAACTAACATTTTACAGACACGGAAATCTAGGAAATTTAATTCTATGATCTTCATTTAATAATTAAAACAAGGTTTTTGTTTAATTTTTGCTAAACGAAAATTTGCATAATTATTAGAGGGTGACTTTGTACAAACGTCGTCTGCAAACATTCAAAATTTGCTAAATTTAAATTATCTATGATAATGATGATATAACTGTTAAATGCCCACTGCTGGACATAGGCCTCCCTTTTGACCTCTCCAACCGCCGCCAACCTGCTTGCCAAGCGTGGCAATTACTGGCAAAACTTCGCTTATGTGGGAGGCTTATGTTCAGCAGTAGAGAGTTAACGACTGATATGATCATAAAATGATGAATATCAGGAATAACACCTGTGTCCTCAGGAATGGTAAGGCGGAGGGGGCCCTTAGGGAAGGCTTATACTCAGCATTGATGTCTAAAATGGTACTGCTCATGTCCGCGCGGGGGGGGATTAGGCGGCGGTTACCGTCTTTTCATCATCAGATGGACCGTTAGCATGTTTACCATTCTAAATTGTATAATAAAAATAATATATTATCTGTGGTAAGGTTTAACAGTTTTGCGTAAACACATCCACGCTGTGTGCGTATTTAATTACCTTTTGCTACGGATATTGACCTGCAGCTGTAACCACTATTCAGAGATAAAATAAATTATTTTAAATGACACAAAGAAAATATTAAGTCAATAAGTTCTCATGTAAAATTATGTACTGATGTTACTGTATTTATCTACGTGTGTTTATTTATTTATTTACACTTTATTGCGTCACTTAGAAAACAATAAATATAGTGAATTTAAATTATTTAATAATATTTATTTTACATATAAATGCATATATATATATATATATATATATATATATATATATATATATATATATATATATATATATATATATATATATATATAATGTATGTATATTTTATCAGGTGAGCCACATGCAAACGAGCATACGGCTCACCTGATGGTAAGTGACTACCGCCGCCCATGATCACCCACAACACCAGCGGCATTGCAGGTGTACTGCCGGCCGTGCTTGTTTATAGTAGTACTGCATTCGAGTATTCTGTCACTTCCCTAAAGTTAACTGGGAGAAAATGTTTTTAGCATTAAGTCCGCCTTGTACGTATACATGTACTAATGAATAAATAAATAACAATAAAATACTTAAAAGTATTTTATTTGTGAATACATATATATTATATTGTATATAAAAATCAATCAGACCAGTACAAGCAGAGACACAGAATATAAAACATGTATTTTACAGACAGTATGTCAAATCTACACTATAAAAGTTGTTAAATATTGAATGTTTTTTATTTCTTCATTAAGCTGAATGGTATAAGAAGTATTTAATCAAAGCATAATAAAGGATTAATCATACTAAGTCCTTTTTTGTAAACGTACATAGTTCCAATGTATATGTATGTTAACATGTAATCAGAGAACACGCGATATTATAAAATATGGTACAAAAAATAAGTGAAGTATACAATTATGAATCGGAACATCATAGACGAGTGGTTCATCGGCCCGCGCAAAACATCACGAGGTTGATCTTGGCCGAAATCCATACATTTGTATGTCACGGGCCCAGCGTCCTTGAATAGGGAATAAGGTTTTTTTTAATGGAGTCCAAATGGAACGGTATTCCCTCTTACGCTGTCTGTATACGCTGGTAGGGTAGAGTGATGGTAGGAGAGGAATTTGGGTCAGTTGGCCCATGTAGGAGAATTTTTTTTATACAACTTAGATTGGCAAACAAGCTGACTGCCCACCTGATGAAAAGTGATAACCGTCGCCTATATACATGAGCAGTACCATGGACATAACAGAGTATACTGTTCCGCCCATGATACCCCCCATGCCTCCCATTGCCATTCCTGAGGACTCAGGTGTTATTCCTCTGTACTCGTTAAATTCACGCCATATCCCACCCTTCAAACCGAAACACAGCTATGTAAACACAACTGCTTCACGGTTGAAACACGAATGGACGACAAACGGATAGACACACGGACAACAACAACAACAACGGGTTCCGTTTTAGCTTTGGAGTTACAGAATTTCAAAAAATCCAACATTCTTGCTCGGCCTACCTTCCTCCCCATAGATTGGATCTTTGACGACTTTAAACATAATATATTATATATGACGAAGATTTACATAGACAATGTCAAATGAAGTGCAATGTGCATGCATCTAGATTAACCTCTAACAGTATAATAAAAAACTTAAATTGTCTATGGCACCGGAGTCACGCCGCGTCGTTAGTATTCGTGACAACATTATGCAACTTACCTACATATTCCAATAAAAAAGTAAGGCATGATGACATCTCTATATGATACATGGTTGCCTGGTAATTTAGGTCTTATATCTACCGTGTGTACCTTTGTTATGTATTTAATTAATATATTATTATAATTATTATTACTATATTAACCTATTTAGGAGGGGGGAAAGGGATTGTTAGTAATGGAGACTGAGAATCCCATTGCTAGCAATATACCCAACCAGGTCGACCTCCTCGCGGTTCTCCTTGGAAACTATTATGGTTAATTCCCGATGAATTCATCATGATGGGCTAACTGGCCTGTTTTCATTCTCATCTATCATCGTTCACTGGTGCTCCGCCAGCGTATCCCGTTAGCGTAGGCGGGGTTACTATTTCATTTTCACCCAACAAAAAAAAACCTATTTAGGAGCTCAATTCTAAAACCACAACTACTGTACCCGTTTGGGGTGAAAAGGAATTGTTAGCAATGGTGTTTGACAACCCCATTGCTAGTAATATGCCCTATTCGGTCGACGTTACCTATTACGTCACGTGGTTCCCCCTGGAAACCATCGTGACCAATTCTTGTTGAATTCGTCACGATGGGCTAACTGACCTGCTTTATCCGCACCTATCATCCTTCACTGGTACCCCGCCGGTGTATACCGATAGCGCGGGTGGGGTTACCATTCCATTAACATCCATTAAAAAAAACTGTAGCCATTTAAAATTATAATATTAATATTAGTATTGTAAGTTAAGAAAATACAGTTATGTTTTTATGAAATAAATCTCATTTCATTTCATTTCAATTAAAGACTGTGTCCACTAAAAAAATCGATTTCAATTGTGACAAAACTAATTATTTCAATTTAAAAACTAAAGTACTAACCTGATTTTGACAATATTTCTATAGTACCAATTTTACCAATTTGTAAATATACCATTTCTGATAAAAAAATAATTTTCTATATCGGTTTATAATTGACGGAGTTATAAGGTAACAAATATAAAAAAAAAAACAATACAACTGATATGAGTACCTCTTTTTTTTTTGAGGTCGTTTGATAAATAAATTATATTTACCATAAGTATTTATGTATATTGTTGCTTTAGAGTTGATTAAGATACGATGGGTCTATCTTATATCCTATATTGTTTAAAAAGATGAAAGTCTCTAAATAAATAAAAAAAAAAAAAAAAAAAAAACTATATGGCTAGTAAGATAACAAAAAAGAATACGGTCCGCTTAACTCTTTTATAAATCTGTTAAAAAGAAATTGAAATTAAAACAAAAAAAAAAAATTTACGCAGACAAAGAAAAATTAGATGATAAATGTCTCAAGGTATTTTTTTTTATATATAATATAGCATAAACACTTATTATATTGGTATTCAGTAACAAGAAATTATTTAATAGGCCAAACAATACCGAATATTTATGAGCACATTAATAATCTAATAATAATATATCTAGAATATTTATTAAAAATCAGGGCTCCGTACCCCGGCTCCGTACGTAGATAGTTGTGATTATTCTAGGGATTACTAATTCTATTGTTAATAAAATACAGCTCAATTAACATCTACATTATCAGCAAACAACGTATGCTGATAATCTAATTTTCTATAGTGTGAAATAAATTATAATTTCTAATTGCTTAAGTACTTTTTCAGTTATTCATTTTAAACAAGAAAAAAAAAACAATTCCTTCCTTTTTATAATATGAGTTTAGATTTTTCAGAGAAAGTTTGATGTATTACTATAATATTTTTAATAATATTTTTACAATAAAAAATCTAATATAAAATCTAATAGAAGAACTTTTTTTTCGAAAAATATAACATTCAAAGAAATTATTTTGCTTAATATCTATAAAAATAAGTACTTAATGCTATAAAACTAAGTAATACGAGAAAAAAAAAAAAACAGAAAAGTACAAAGGAATAAGCAAATAAGAACCCATATAATAAATAGACAATAGTCAATACAATGCTTAAAAGGTTCATTGTAATGTAGGAATTAAAATAGAAATCTATGTTTTAAAAAATAAAATATGTGATTTAAGACAATTGTAGAAAAAAAAGAAACCCTAATGATTGCAAATTCTTTATTGCACTTGACAACAAATATAATTATCTAAGTTGAAGAAGAGGAACGAATTCTTCAAAATTAATATTAGTACAATTATTGCACATATATTTACATAAATAGACAAATTAATAAAAAAAAAAAAAAAGAAACATGACTATATTTTCTCCGTTTCCTTTTAAAACAATACAAAGAATTAAAAAGTAATAAATTATTATTTTCTTATAATATTTTTTATACAAAAAGAAACTTCTTAATTCACTTGTATTTTTTGTATGTATGTATGATACGATATTTTCACCAACTCTTAAACAATTAATTTGCAATCGTTAGGGTTTACACTCGTGTTGATCCTATAAAATGTATCACATTTAAGTTATTGTTTATTTTTGGAGAAAAGATTTTAACTATGTTGTTAAAGTAGTCTAAAGAAGAACATACCTTTTTGTCACTTAGAAAAAACACTATTTGATTTACACAGCTTATAACACCATTCAAAAATCCCGCCAAAATATGCCCGCGAAATTCAAACTTCGAACACGAAACGTGTTGTAAAAAATAAAATTCTTGCTTTGCAATACACAATCTATACTAGGATATGTGTCTATGGTACAATTTTTTTTAATACCCAGGCGTTCTGTATACAGCCTCTTCTTTTTAATTTTAATTAGGCTGTAGCAGAAACGCTAGCGCGTGCGCCGTAGTATACTGCGCGGCGGTTAGTCGGCTACTAAACAAGCTAGATCCCTTACTAGCCTTGAAAGCTACTGAAAGCCCCGCCCGCCTATCGCATTCTTTGGTATTAATTGGACCAACGTTTCTTAGTAACAAGTCGCGGTGGTCCTAGGTTTTTTTTTTTATTAACATAGGAGTGTAAAAACCCGTGGTATAAACTTAACAATCAGGTATATTGACGTCAGGACCCTACATGTTTATATACTCAGTTACAAATAAGTAGTTTTGAATTATTATAATAGAGATAAGCTTAAAATAAGAATGTAAGAAGATAATGTGCATTTTACAATTTACATTTTACCTGTTACAATTTACATTAAACGATTTATGAGTACTAACCTTCATTGTGATATTTTTTCTCTTTGTATGAGTATTAACAGTTGGTATACGCTGGCGGGGCACCAGTGAGGGATAATAGGTGATGATAAAAACAGGTCCTCGAAATTCAAGCACGGTAGTTTCTGGGAGAAACCACGTGGAGGTCGACTTGATGGAGCTATGCTGGATGCTAGCAATGAGGTTTTTAGATATAAGAATCAAGATCCAGAAGAATAACATATATCAAGTCAATTTTCATTTCGGTCAATCTATCTATATTGTATTCCGTTCACATATGAAAAAACTAGTAAGCAGAAATCATGGAAAATAACTACCTAGTAAAAATTATATTTAACATCCGTGGAAATTATTTTATTGTGAAATTATAAAAAAAAAATTAGACCTTCTATTTTATCTATGGCAAAAACTAACATTTTTAAAATTATCATTCCAAGTCACGTATATTATCTTTGAATATTAGCCAGCCAGTAGCATTCTTATTGCCACCCGATCCATACATTAGGCTCTAAGAAGCGGTTTTTGTTCACCTTTATGTTTTATTTCATTTCCAAGAAATGGATATAATCAGAATAGAATTCGTTACATATCCCTTGATGTTTGTTTCCTTTTTGTATTTTTTTTGTTTGGACATTAGAAGAAAAATATATTGTGTCGATTAATTTGTTTAGATAATAAAAAAATATAAGTAATTAGGAAAAGAGAGTATATGTCGCATAGTCCATTTGAATAGAATTTAATGAAAAGGTAACAAAATTTTCATAGAAACATATTCTAAATGAAATAACAAATCGAAACATTTAATTAATTAAAATATTTTTTATTAGGCAAGCATACAGCTCACTTGATGGTAACCGTTTATCGTAAATAAACCTGCAATACCAGGGGCCTGCAATAATACGCACGCGTTGCCGACCCTGAAGAAATCTTTTTACCCCTTTTTTTGAAGAACCTCATGCTGTAGTCTCTTGGAAAAACCTCTACAAATCACCTCTTTGAAATCGCGCTGTACACGACCATCTTATGGTTGGGTTAATTATTCATTTGTTTTTTTGAAACATTTATTATTTATTTAACTCTTTATTGTACCAGAAACATAAAAGTAACACATTATAAATTTAATGTCTTAATTATTATATATACTGCATATGCATATACACATAAAAACCTTTTAAAGAATTGAAATAAATACAGTCTTAGATATTTTAAATACATTATCAAGACTCAATACTTACAAATCTGATTTTTATTGCCAACGTTTTAAAGTGGATTGCACCACTTCGTGATCACGACATGACAATAAAAATCAGGTGCATAGATACTATTTACCTGCAATTGGTCCCGACAATGTATTTAAAACATGTGTCAACAACTCGATAGTTTTACTATAGCATGTTACATGCTTATTTAATTAAAAGCAATTAAAATTACGTGTTCTTTTAACTAAAAGCAAAAAATATATACTGTAAAGATACAATTCATATGGGACAAATACGAAATTAAACCCTATCAATTACAAAATGAATTAGCATAATCGGTAAAATTTTTGCAACGTCATCGCGTAACATATAACTACGCCACATTTTCTCATCCAAAATACTTCAAAGTTTAAAGACAAAGGTCTTTGACCAATGCGTGTTATTACACGGTTAACCGTATGCAAAAGCTTCAAACTACTCATTGGGCTATGGAAAGACACTAGATGGAGTGACGACTTCAAATACATTGCAGGAAGGCAGTGGATGCATTTTATACTACTTAGAATGGCAAACTAGCTGACGGCCCACCTGATGGAAAGTGGTAACCGTCGCCTATAGACATGAGCAGTACCATGGACATAACAGAGTATACTGTTTCGCCCATGATACCCCCTATGAGTTGCCATTCCTGAGGATTCAGGTATTATTCCTCTGTACTTAGTAAATTCACGCCATATCCCACCCTTCAAACCGAAACATAGCTATGCAAACACAGCTGCTTCACGGTTGAAACACGAATGGGACAGAGGTACCCAAGCAATCGACTTTTGTACAAAGTCTCCCTCTGGTGATGTCCAGTAGTAGACAGATAATGGCTGAGATGATGATGAATCGTTTATGGAAGTTGCTTTAAAAAACTTTCTTCACGTATTTCGTAACACAAAAAGAAAAATACAAAAAAGTATTTCTCTTACGTCTTCTATAATTCTTTATAAGTCTTTCTTCTATGTCTTTTGTCTTCGTATATCCTTTCTATATATATATATATATATTACTTTCATCACGTATCATTGTCTGACATGGTCTTGACCGAGTTTTTGATGTATTTAATTATTTATACAGGTATACAGACAGCGGAAGGCGTTCGGATGTGTTACATTTGAACTGGGTCACCTTTAAAATCAATAATTGCTGTGTTAATTGTATAAATAAACTAATCATATACATAAATGACAATTTCTACTATTTTACGATTATTATTATCATTATTTCAGCTCTTAACTGTCCACTGCTTAACATAAGCCTTCCCCATAAGGGGAGTTTTGCCAATTGTCACCACGCTTGGCAGGCGCGTAAGAAACCGCAGTTAGTAATGGTTTTTACAGATGTTTTGATAGGGACGCTGCTGCCCATCTCTCCACCATAAGCTTCCTTAGTCGCCTCTTACGACACCTACAGGAAAGGAAGGGGTGGCCCATTCTATGTCGGGACTGACATGGCTATTTTATGATTATTGAACGCCAATTAATATAATCTGCCATTCGACCTATAATAAAGTGGCAGAAAAGTAAAATAATAAAAAAACAAAATTGTAAAAAATTCAGTGATATATTATTTATCGTATGGCTCCGGCATAGAATGGACCATCCCTTCTTTTTCAATATGTCTCGTTCTCACGGTTGAAAGAGGGGCCCTTTTTATGCAGAAAAGCCTGTGACACTACGACCTTTCCATAATCTTTTATGCTCGCCCTTTTTTTAAAGTTCGCTGCTAATCGGTAATAGGAATTTTAGGATGTGTTATGTAGCAATGTTTTATATCTCCTTAATATATATATATACTAACAGTATATATAGTTACTCATCACGAATATTGGAACGCACCTGCCTTAGTTAATCAAAAACAAATTATGCGTAATCTGTTTTTCATTAATTGGGGAATACCTGTGGAATAATTAAATACCAGGCAATAAACTCATTAATACTCGTAAATCACTAAAATTCATTTAATAGTTCCATTGCGCTTTATTAGGAATTCTGGTAATAGGTATTTTTTTTTCGTAATGCTCAAAGATATTATGGTTTTAATTGAATGATTAAATAAGACAAATTTTACCCATAATTGCATAGAAATACAGTTGTTGTTAGTGGACAAATTAATCACCTATTAACTAACCATACCATATATACTAACCACCTTCGTCGCCTGTTACGACACGCACGAGAAAGAAAGAGGTTTATTCTATGCCGGGACCACACGGCTATACATAGTATTGTAACATAGATAATTAGTATATAACATATATATAAATTTAGTATATAGATATTGTAACTAAAATATATAAATAGGGGGGAAAGGGTTTGTTAGTAATGGAGACTGAGAATCCCATTGCTAGCAATATACCCAACCAGGTCGACCTCCTCGCGGTTCTCCCTGGAAACTATTTTGCTTAATTCATCATGATGGGCTAACTGGCCTATTTTCATTCTCATCTATTACCCTTCACTGGTACTCCGCCAGCGTATCCCGTTAGCGCAGGCGGGGTTACCATACCATTTTCACCCATCAAAAAAATATATACAAATATTGCTATGTAGGGATGGGTACCCTATAATTTAGCAGTTAAGTCACGGAATACAGTTAATACTAACTCAAATATATTACCGGGAGAAAGGGATTGTTAGTAATGGGGTCAAATAGCCCCATTACTAACAATATACCCTATCAGGTCGACCTCCACGCATGGTTCCCCCTGGAAACCATCGTGGCTAATTCTAGTAGAATTCGTCAGGATGGGCTAACTGACCTGCTTTCATCCTTATTAGTCATCTATCACTGGTGCCCCGCCATTGTATACTGATAGCGTAGACGGGATTACCATACCATTATCACCCATTAAAAAAAAACTTTTTTTTTTATATACAACTTAAATGGCAAACAAGCTGACGGCCCACCTGATGGAAAGTGGTAACCGTCGCCTATAGACATGAGCAGTACCATGGACATAACAGAGTGTACAGTTTCACCCATGACACCCCGCATGCGTTGCCATTCCTGAGGACTCAGGTGTTATTCCTCTGTACCCAGTAAATTCACGCCAGTGAGTGATTGTAATGTTTGTGTGAGTAAACGAATTTAAACAAAAAAATCGCCTTTCATGTTATCTATCTAACACGATTCCATACTAAACCGTTATTTAGATGACAAACGTGCTTGGCATTAATCGATCATGCACGGACTTTTGAATGGCCATATTATTTTACACATAGTAGGTACATTTAAATAAATACATATAACATTAACAGAGATTTAAAAGAGTAACCGTTCAGTTTCTTATAGGTTTTAGTCGACAACGCACACGTGACACCCCTAGTATTGCAGGCGTCCGTAGGCTACAGCGACCGTTTACCATCAGACGGGTTGTATGCTTGTTTGCCAACTTTGTGATATAAAAAAGAAGGTTCTTCTCAGCAGATA